TGGAGGCTGGGAAGCGCAGCTGTTGCAGAACCAGACGAGCCCCTCCTTGTGGGTCACAGCATGCTGCACAGCGTTCCGGTTCATGGTGGGATTCACCAGCTCTGTGTTCACTGGCACTCTTAGGCGCAGACTCATCAGTCACTGACAGCTGTCAGGTTTGGAATGTGGACTCAGCTTTGATGAGTCCCTTGGACAGCGCACTCCAAAACTCTTGTCTCAATAAAGGTACGGTTCCCAAAGAGGTGCATATATTATTTGAAGTGCACAAGATAAGGCACTATATGTATAATTACGATTGAATACATATCAAATATATGCAGATTGCTTACTTATGCATTTATTATGTATACGTTCATCAGTTATGCTATTGTATAAAGCAGTTCCATGGTATCCACGGTACAGAGGCATACACATGACTAATCATGGATTACCCTGTTGGTAAGCATAGGCTATTCAGAGTGCACCTTTATACATGAGAGGTGTCATGGTTTAACCCCAGCCAGCAACTAAGTGCCACGCAGCTGCTCGCTCACTCCTCCCCCTGCCCGGTGGGATGTGGAGGAGGATTGGAAAAAAAAGTTAAACATGTGGGTTGAGATAAGAATAGTCTAATAACTAAAATATAATATAAAATAATAGTAATAGTAATGAAAAGGAATACAACAAAAAAAAGAGACATAAACCCCAAGAAAAGATAAGTGATGCACAGTGCAATTGCTCACCACTTGCTGACTGATGCCCAGTTAGTTCCCAAGCAGTGATTCCTCCCAGCCCCACTCCACCCAGTTTATATACTGGGCATGATGTCACATGGTATGGAATACCCCTTTGGCCAGTTTTGGTCAGCTGCCCTGCCTCTGTCCCCTCTCAAATTCTTGTGCCCCTCCAGCCTTCTTGCTGGCTGGGCATGAGAAGCTGAAAAATCCTTGAATTGGTATAAACACTGCTTAGCAACAACTGAAAACATCAGTGTGTTATCAACATTCTTATGCTGAATCCAAGACATAACACTATACCAGCTACTAGAAAGAAAATTAACTCTATCCCAGCCAAAACCAGGACAGATATTTAAGGGGCACTCCTCATTCCTAGCTGTCCTCTCATGTGCAACTTCTGGCCTATTTGATCCCTTCAAATGAAGCTTTTCAAGCTTCCTTTTCTGCTGCTTTTTCCTGCAAGAAGGACCCAAGCTGCAGCACATTGCTAACAAATGCTTTGACTGACCTGTAGGGGAAAAGCAATTCTTCGCTCTTCTCCTTACTTTTAATGCTAGTTGGCTTACCTGCGACAGAACACAGCAAATAGTGGAAGTGTAAAGTAGTCACCTCCCTTTAAGACAACTGTAGCTTTATGAGCAGTGAGACCTTATGCCTATCACTGTATGTACCAGGGTACCTATGCATGACGAGAAACCAAAGGGCAGCATGTCAAGATGACCTTTGACATCTCTTTATACTGTGGATTTATGTCAAACTCTATCACTGCAACTGCTTCATTTTTTTTCATGGGATTTTGCACCTTTAGCATAGTAAATGGTGATAGGAAAAGAGTGTCCTTCACGATGGAGTATCATATGGATGTATGCCAGAATAACAGCATTATACACTGCTGCCTGGTGCAAGCCCCTTACCCACCCCCTATTAAAAACAATTAAAAAAAAATCCCCTCTGGTAATACACATCCTGCCTGTGACTGATCATATTTGTCATTTGAAACATTGCTTCAGAGGGGCTTTGAGTTTCTTAAGGGGTCATTTGTAGACAGAAGAAAAAAGAAATAAAGTCTGCACTTAAATCTGTCCCATCAGCAGATTTCAGTGTTCAGTTTTGCCACTTTTAGTCACAAAATTCAAGCAGCATTCTAAACTGCTGTCATTTAGAGAATTCCTTTCAGTGAAGTAACACCTCCATAATTCAAAGCTACCTGATAGTCAGTCTTCAAAATTAGAGTTAAACACAGACTCAATTATAAAGGTATAGCTTGTACTTCACAAAACTGTATTTTTTTAACAGTGGTTGTCCACAGGCTGTACACACACAGGAGAAGGTACAGAACAAATTTATGCTCAAAGCTTTGCATGTAATAGAACAGTTCTGAGACAAAAAAAAAAAAAAAAATTTTTTTCCTCTCTGGCACATATTTCCATATTAAGCATATTTCCTCCTAGTTTCCTTGCAAAAATTCAAATTAAAACAAGTTATCTCCTAAAAGTAGATTTATTCCTAGACTTTCAATTTGCTGAGCTTATGCAGACAAATTGTAGTATTGGAGCAGTTTTATGGAGGTACTGCTGTATGCATGTGTTGGAGTTGTAGCAGAAAACAAGAAGGAAAAACACATTGTAGCACCATTTTGGGGTGAAGTCCACCCATAGCTTTACCACAAATATGAACTCATTAATTATAGCATAGTTCTGCTCTACATTTTTCAAGCACTTTGGATCTGGTAATCCTTCATCAGATGGATGTTTTCACAAACCATAGTTCTTACTGGGAATTTCATGTATAGGAAACACTATGAACAGCAGCTGCAGCAAACTGTCTCATAAAGACTCTCTATTACCGCTTCTTGCCTTTGCTACTGTCCTCTGAAACTGTTCTTTCCCTCTCTCTCCATCTTCTGCTGAACATTCTTGTTTCCAGTTCTTAATATTCACTGCTCAGTACAATTGGAATAATGCTTATTTGAAGTAAATTCTTATTTGAAATTTTTTCTCTCCTCTACTGAAGAAAATTTTCTGCAGTGCTCCCATTCCATCTGAAGAACTTGAACATATATATTTGCTTAATTTTTTCACAATTCCATTTCTGTAGTTGGCCTTGCCCCTTATTGCAGTGCCCCAGTTCCTGCTGCTCAGTAGCCAAAGGATTAGTATTAAGCAAAGCACTTCAAAATCTTGTCTGTAAATCTCTGGATCCCGTTTGCGAAAGTTCAGTCACCACTGAACAGCAGGTCACCTGTCAGGAATGCCTCCTTGTTTCTGCAATATAAGTTATTTATTTACATTCTATCTTTCCAATTGAAGTTTCAAGAGAGTGTGAGGCATCCAAGAGCTTAAATTCAACTGACTTTGGAGAGACTTCCAATCTTAAATTTTTAAACCCCCTTAAAACAAGGGCTTCAAGGAGCCCAATCATACAGGCACCCCCAAAAACACTATTCCACATTGTTTTCTGTTTTGTTTTGTTTTGTTTTTTTTTTCCCCTGAAAACTCTCTTTTTTTAAATTACAATTTTACCACTTTTATGCACTTACTTGTGTAATTGGGGTGGGTGGGTGTGTTCATGTTCCTTTATTGTTCTTTTATAGTTTTATTATTTCCCCTCACAGCTCCTCCTTTACCATCAGATATTCTTTGCCCTTGCCCATGGTGATGTTGCTGTGTGCTATATATACTTCACATTCCATACATATTTGCTATTTAGCCCACATTTCTAGTAAAAAGCTGATGTTTTGATGCAGTTACCTGTATGCTCGGACGTATGTGGATGGAGGAAGATGAGACACCAGGATGACATGCCTGGAGTTTTCATTGGATCTGAGTACCAATGTTAACCTGATCTACTGTTGGTTCAACTTTTGAGTGTCTTTAAATACTTATGATCTATGTCAGTAATTTTTTTAAACTATTAAAATAGACAATTAACCTTTTATTAATGTTTTAGAAATTTAAATCACATACCTGGTCAAGAAACTGACCAAGGGAAATGTGACTTTTCTTTCTATTATGGAGGTTGCTAGTAATGGCTAAATGCCATTGATGCCTGAGATGCTCAGCTTTCAGAAACTGGAGCCTGTTCGTGCTGTAAGTTCAGGACACAGCAATCTCAAGATTTCCATCCATCAGTCAGCTATTCACAGCCCTCAGCATTGACCAGGACAAGTAACTAAAGGTCTGAGTCCCATCTCAGTGACTTCCGTTGCTCCATAAAGGCTACCAATGAGACACAGACATTTTCAACTGTCTGTGCACTAATTCCTTTCTGTACAGTGATCTTTAGTATTGCCAAACACATAATTTTTAATTACTAATTAAAATTATTGCTATGAATTGTATTTAGAAAGAGAATTAAACATGTACTTTTCAATCCAACAAACTATACAAACATTCATTTGGAACATTTTGCTGGATAAAGGCTACTGATGACAAATTTTTCAGAGTCTTATGAACTAGGAACTAAAAGTCAAGTACCAGAAAAACTCTGTATTTGGAAAAATCTTTATTAAACATTTCAATACAATATTCAGTAGTAAAAAAATCAAGTGATGCGTATGCAGAGTTTTCTGGCAGGGATCTCAGACAAGAGATGTAGTGAAATTGATTTATTTTACACCAAAGTTCAAAACAAATTCTTATTTATTACTTTACAAAGACTTAATTTAGAAAAAATGTGCAATATCAGTATCTGAGTTAACAAAAATCTAAAAATAAAAACATTCTATTCCAATGTTTTCATACACTATTTACAAGAAAAGCAAAAAAGATTGCCTTCAATTTAACCCCTAGATTCTGAAATCCTCAGGATATGGCCAGTGTCTAAAGTTCTGTAATATTAATCTAACAACTTTGTATAACTATTTTTTGTTTATGCATTTATTCACAGATTCAGGCAAGCTTTCATAAGCCAGTACTGCTCTTTAGTAAACTGCTTGTTCAATTCCAAAGTTGATTTTTTTCATACTACTTAAAGGAAATATCCACTAAGCACCTTTAATATTGGTTCTCCCTATACACCAATCAATAAAGAACAATCTCCTAGTTTATGACAGATAAACCCAGTATAATTTTTTTAGAGTACCAGAAAATTATCAGAAGATATTCAGATGAAATTTTAAATGACAAATTGCATAATCTACTTAACAGCCCTGAAAAATGAATAAATAAAATGTAAATAGATTATTATTTTGATAGTAGATGACAAGTATTCCATCTTGCTTCTGAACTCCCTTAAAAAACAGCTGTTACAAGTATTAAGTAATTTTGCTCCGATGGAAAGCATTTGATTTGTCGGGGATTTCTACATTAATTATCCTTGGAGAAATGTCCTGAATTTGTCCTACAGACTTCTGAATGCAAAGTAAAACCACTGAGTAATTTTTCTACTCCAGCAGTATTTTCAAGTCATGATATCACTAGATTAGTTCTGTATCTTTAAATTTAGTCATACAGTCTATGTAAGACAGAAACAGCAGATCTGGGCAGTGTAATCTGACAGTAAATTTAGCCAGATACATCAGAGCCTTTGAAAAAACAGACCTAGCTAATAAGCGTGCTAACAACTTTGGTACCCAATAGGGCCACCTTAAAAATCATTACGACCTAGCGAATGTCAAGACTCATTTTACAATTTTACACTACCTTACTTTCATGGTTTGACTTTAATTTTAGTGATAAACATTACATGGTCACATTCATAAGTACATCAAAATCTATAGTAACTGGTAAACATAGCAGTTACCTTGGTATGATTAACAGGAAGAGTTCTGTCTAAATGTACCTATCAGTGCAAAATCAAAGAAGTCTCTAAAAATGGACAACAACCCTGTTAAACTGGCCAAGAACAGCAACATATGCTTGCACAAAGTAGTCTGAGAGAAAGTTTACTGAAGAGCTCCTTTTCCATATCTGCTGAGATCATTTAACACAGAAATGAACACAGCAGCATCATTCTGACTATATTTTCTGAGTAAAACTCACCAGTTTAGAGTAACCTCATCAATGCCTTTCTGAAGGACAGATGGATACCAGATTGTTTCCATCAGCCTGAGCCAAGCAGGCTCCAGTGAAAAGCTTAGCACCTCCATTTGCACTCAGATCATAAGGCTGTACGCCAGGAAAGTAGTAAATACATCAAAGCATAATTGCCATTCACATTAATATACAAGCTAAAACTTCATACATACAGGTTGAGTTCCTAAGAAAGGAACAACGATTTTTTTTATACAGTCTCTGATTGCCCCAAATTGTATACTTACTGGATTACTTCCTATTAGCAACACATCACTATACAACACCTTCAGCAACTGTAGTGTCAAAAATTTGGTAATAAACTTGATGTGTCATCGCATCTCTGACATTATAGGACTTGATGAAGCATTCCAGCCATGGCAAGTCATCTACAAACAAAATCCAAATTACTGTTTAATACTAATTTCTAACTTTTGTAGGAGAGAAACATAACTTGAGCAGGATCTTAACTAGGGTATCTAAATGTATACAACAGTTAATGGGAAGAAAAATAAATTACTAATTTTAAAATTCCAATTTGCATCTTAAAATTTCCCGCAGCATCTGAAATGGTGTTCAGTGACAATCTTTCAAGCCTTGCCCTCCTTACCCCAGCGCCCCTCCCAAAACACTTGGTACCAGTAGTTGTACCACAGTATAGCACATATAAAGACTTTCCAATAATAAAAACTTATCTCCATGTGTCTCAATGAGACAATTTCAGGGGTCTCAAAGGGAACAACCTTTACAATAGGGCCACTTTTTGTAAGCATGGTCAAGACTCCAAGTGTGGTTGTGTGGTCACTGACAGCCATGTACTTAAGAGGGAGTACACTGCAGAGGTCAGAGCTGCGGCAGGGACATATAGCTACCTTGGACGTGTGTAGTTTAGGCAGAGCTACTTCCTGCCACAACAGAACTGCTGCACAAAAACCTCTGTGACTGGATTTGGATTAAGGTTTTGCTCAATTTTCATGGATGTTTCCTGTAGCAAGGGATGCTCTAAACCAGCATGTGCATTCAAAAGTAGAATCTCACACCAAAGCATGTGCCAGAAGCTGAGCTCCCTTTCAGTTTTCCCTAATGTACTGTGACATTCAGTACGAGGGTGTTTAGGTTAACTTCCATATGAATACAAATGACATGTTAGTGCTTGCATAGACATGACTGTATTCACACATCACTGCATGCTACATGAGAATTTACTGAACTATTACTTTTCTTTCTCAAAAGGGAGTTCCACTATTACAGAAATGTATCAAAACAAATTAATTGGAACTCTCCTTACAGACTCCTGCGTTTCTCTGTTCTGAGTTTTGCCGACGCGTAAGTTGAATTCTAAGACTTTGCATGTGCAATGGCAGATTGAAAGACCCTTTCCTTCCCCCCCCCCCTTTTAAAATAATGGCAATCTGACCTAATTTTCTTCCTGGAGGACAGAGCGTATTCATGGTCATCTGCATCTTTTGCTGAAGAGAATTATTAGTTAAGATTTCAGAGGCAGGAATTTGGAAAAAATTTTCCTGGAAGAGAACAGAAAAGTATGAGGCATTGGAAGAGGGGTAAGAAATCATTAGCCAGAACCCTGACTGCATGTTCTTTTATCATTTAAGGAACTTAAAATTATCCAGATAGGCAACACAACAGAAGAACAATACTATTTCTAAAACTGTTCAGATACAGAAGAAAACCAAAGCTGTCTGAAAAAATTAATAGTCTGTATTTCAGTACCCCTGAGTATTCAGGGACTACAGCCACCCAGAAAGCACACATGTAGGTCTGTATACATAACTGGCAGATATTCCTCATAAACCTCTGTAACCAGACAATGTTATGGCCAGAAAGGATGGTCAGTCCTCCTCAACAGTCCCTCGCTGCAGTGAGCAAAACATTTTGAGAGGAACAAAGTCACTTGAAAACAAGGGGGCACTGCAACCTTCAGTCGCAACCACTTCATAGAAGTGGAACTCCCTTAGTTTGAGTTTCATTTTTTTGATAGTTTTAGAAACTGTGGAGAAAGGCTTATACTGTGGAATACATTTCTGAATGAAGGAGCAAAATAAAGAATGGAACACTGAAACATTAAGTAAACCTTTTCTGTGTATTTTTAAACAATATAGAGTAAGCATGACTGACAAAACTCCCATTTTATTCTTTCCAAGTTTGTTACCTGATTTTGTACCTCTAACGACTCATCATCTTACACCTTGTCAAAGTGAGCTAAAGCTTCTGATAGCAATTTCTCCTTTTTGTTAAAAGATAAAAATACAGAATAATCTGCCTTTGTATAATTTTTGTCTGATACGTTTAATGGAAGTGATCAGAAGTTAGCAGATAATCCAGCAGCAAAATTGACAGAGATATCTACTTTTTCCTCTCACTCTTACAATTCTTCCTCTGACTATAGAACTTTTCGATTTTTTCCTTCAATGACTCTTCCTATAAAGAGGAGAGGAAAGAAAAGAACTGAGAGCGTTCCTACAGAAGTGTGACTGGAAGCTAGTGTAAAGCTGCACTTCAAAGTAGCCCAGTTCTTTCTCGGGTGGTGCTGAAGGACCCAAGTTAAGGCTTGGAAGGTATTGGCTTGTCTTTGAAGTACCACCAGCAGGAATGCTAGCAGCTGGCACTTCAGAAGAAATTGTGGGGTTTTTTTCTGCAGCTAAGCTGTAGTACTGAGCAGTATCTGATAAGAATCTGAGCTACCATGAAGTAGAGATTTTTGGAATTCTGCATCAAGAGATGGTTTAAAATCCTTCCCCCCACCTTCTTTTTGCAGTTTAGTTTCTCGATATAAAAAAGAAAAAGGACAGTAGAAGGAAAAGATGACTAGCTGAAATGGGGATTGCAGCCTTTGACCTCCTTTGCTGCTAATACACCATGTATTTTAAGAAAACACACATTTTTTCCAATATTGTTTTTACTTACAGTCTTAAAATTAAACAAGGAAGAGTACTCCCTTCAAAGTCCCACTCGAAGTCATTAAGTACAATGGTGGAAAATATATACACATTAAATACAATTGCTGTGGGGGAAAAAAAATTCCCACTGAATTGTTTCTCTGTCCCATTTTGGACAAAGTTATAACTCTGAAGTGCCACTACACTGAATATTTTCCACTTGGGTAAATAGATTACTCCAAACGTGTATTGTTAGATCCTGATATTCCCAGCCATGAACTGCTGGAATAAGAAAACACACAAATGCACTTATAGAAGGAAAAAAGGTACAATGTAATACTAATGTATTTTAGATAATAATTCTATTCTTTACCAAGTTCTTCTCACTTTTTTATTATTTTCTCTTTTCAAAACAATTGACATACCATCTCAAAATTTAGGATAGTAACTAAAATGTGTCTGTGTATGTTTGTGTGTGTAAAAAACAAAACAAAACCCCCCAAAATCCCCAAAGGTAAAACAAAAGGAAAAAACCCACGAAGTACATAGCAACAGATATTTCTACTGCACGCAAAAATACATGTAAAGGAGTAAATTCACTAAGGAGGATACTAGACTTATACAATTCATATTCAGCCCTAAATTGGAGATGCAGGAAGCAATGACCAGCTCTTGTCAGCCAGAAATCCTCCACCTTCCGCATCACAAAAAATTCTTACTCAAAGCATCTTTGTGCATTAAACCTAATAATAAAGCTTATGAATTAGAGTAAAAAGGAAAAAAATAAAAAAAAATCCTGAAGAGTAATTGGTAGTTTACTGTCAAAATAGGAGATGTCCAAAGTGGATTCTGCAGGGGATTGTCCGAAGTCTGGTGATTTCAAGAATTTTCAGTAGTGACATGCTTTATGGAATAGCAAATAGGCCCACTATGTTTACAGACAAAACCAAGCTGGGGGAACCGCAAGTATACAGGAGTAAAGAATTAGAATTAATTTTTGACAAACTTGAAGGCCAGTAGGACAAAAAAAACCCCCACAACCAACAACCAACCCCCCTGCCTTTCCACCAGATACATGTATAAAATACTGCTTTTAAGCAAACCAAATCAACGGCTCAAAGAATGAGGAATAATTTCTTAAAGCTGAGGTTCTACTCAGAGATGAAGGGATTATACCATGAATCAGTAAGCAAGAAATTAAGTGATCGCCATACTGGTTTATACATATAGAAGCATTATCTGGCAATGCCTCGTGCTAGGGTACTGTTTTAGCACTTTAAGGAAGATGTGGGCCACCGGGGAAGAATCCAGAAGAACAACAGTGAGGATGGTCAGAGTTTTCAAAGAACTCTGACCTGGAAGAAAAAACTCTGATATGAAAAAAACTCTTATATGGAAGAAGACAGAATGAATGGGGTTTTTTTAGCCTTCAGAAAGTAAAATCATTATACAGTGTGTAGTGACAGGAAAACCATCCATTCTTCAGTGTCTCAGGTAGCAGGAATGGTCTTAAGTTGCTTCAGAGAAAACTGAAAATAGGTTAATTCTAAGGTTAGCAAAGTAGTTGAATAAACTGCTTCTGAAATCAAAGATGAATATCTGCATAGCTATAGTTGAGTCCTGCCTAGGTTCAGGGGAAGGAAGGCATCTTCTGACCTCATGGTCGTATGAAACAAAAATCAAGAACTAGTGAATGGATAGATTCTACTGAGAGTTAAAAAAAGAGGCAATAAAATTTTGAACTAATCCAGAAGTTACCTGCATAAATCCTGAAATGCTCCCATCATTCACACAGCATTTAGACTGCACAATTTAACATTGCCAATAAGAGAGAAATTCAGCCATGGAAATGTATAGAAATCTATGGAAATACCAAATATCTATCTATAAGCTTCAGTTTTGTCTTTATGCTTTGATATTCTGTACTCTGATATTTTTTTGAAAAATTACTAAAAATTACATTCTGTGCATCTTCATTGATGGACAGTATTAATAACATCACAGCACTTGTAACTGTCCCTGCAAAACACTGCAGGTAACATAGAATGAGTATTTCTATACATACATTTGCTATTTTAAAAACAAATAAAACCCAAACCCACATAATCTGTAGAGTCTACCTTCACCTGGATTTACTTACATAATCAAAAAGGTATACATTTAGTGCTCCTGTTGCATCAACCAGTGTAAACTTCATAATAAAAACATACTGGAGCGGCACAATACCTAAAACTGGAGAAAATAAAAATTGATCTGTTTCTTAGAGTGACTATGCAAGACAAACCATAACAACTCAAGCTCACAATATCCCTCCTTTAATAGTAACTGACTTTGAATACTGTCATTAAAAGTATAAATTGACAGGCCAAAATATACAGCCTCTGAATCACAAAATGTGGTTCTATTTTGACAGCACATTGCAATCTGCCTAGAAACACTTTAATAGATGAGTCTATAAAAATGCAGAAAGATTTTTAAGTACTTATTCTCATCCTAGTAAAAGAAATGCTAATACTTGCTTAGATCTTAGATCCTACATTGGTAGGATTCTCCTACTCCTGTTATTTTATCCATGGAAGATTAAAGGAGACTTGCTCTTAAATTCAGTGATAAGAAGACAGCATTCCACCTGAAAACATATCTTCTGAGGAAAACAATTTGTTTCAAATGATGTAGTAAAAGCTACCAGGCAAAGTCTTACTCAGAAAAACTTTGCTGGCAGTTCTGAAAATATTCCAGCATAAGTAAATGACTATAGTAATTCTCTCACTGGCAGCAGTAAATGTTAAGCTGCAAACGTAAAATATCTTAAACATACAAAGTTAATGCAACTCTGCATCACTCTCTTTGGGGTACATCTACTTAAATTGGCTAGTCATTTTATGTTCAACTGATCTGATATACTTGCAGGTTATCATTTAGTCTGAAAATACAGATCATAAAAGAATAATATACATAAGATAATTTAAATGCTAGAAAGCATTTAATGAATATTGTTTTCATTTTGAGAATGTCAATCACAGGTGTTGTAACACTGCCAGTTATATATTACTTTACATTTATTTGATAGAATATAATTATGACAGTTTATTTAGGAGAACTACTGTATCGCTTGAATAGTTTTTTTCTTTTATAAAGTCTTTACCAAGCTTAGATACTGCTAGATATTCCAACTTAATGTTAGAACATGAATTGATAAACTTGAAAATATTCTTTCTCCTTAATATGTTGTGAAGTTTTAAGCTCCATTTTACCTCCAGCATTTGAACGTGTTGACTACATAAAGCAAGGAACACACAAAGCATAGAACACATATATATGTTATGGTATAATTCCTTTCATTTGAATATTATTTCTTGCAGACTCTCTAGAATATGCTTAGCATTGATAAGGCTTGCAGAAGATAAAAGTCTAACTTGTACTAGTCATTAAATAGGACTCTCTTTAGTTCAGGTCAGAAAAACATCTTCAAAAGGGAAAGCAAGACTAACTTCTAGGACTGCAAGCATGTACATAGTTTAAAAATGACATCTGCAACCAAAAATTCATCACATCTGTACTACAATAGGTGTTACTAGTGACACCTATGGTAGAAGAAACTATTCAACATATAAAATCCTTTAATTCATACTGTAATGATTTCAAAAGTAAATATGTAATTTCAACTAGTAAAAGGTGAATAAATTTTACAGCTTTATACTCAAGCATAATAATAAATTACATGCTTTCTGTACAAAACTGCAACCCAGAAACCAAACTATTTCATATAAACACTTCAGAATTAAGGCACGGAAGTATTTCAGGACAATATCATGTCAACTGACCTTGTGCTATTTCAGTTGGTTCCCATGATGGTCGTTGTTCTGCTGCAATGGAACTTAGACTCTTGATAGGCTTTGGAGTTGAACACTGCTTGCACCTAGCATTTAAAACAAGAAACTGAGACTAACCAAACACTGACTTATTTATACTAGAAGCTTTCTGCAGAAAAAAAAAAAAATTCTGATTTCCTTAATCAGTGCGAGTGCAAAAATATTTCTATTGCTGTTTAAAATAACTATTTTACTAGACACACAAGCTTTAGACCACATCAAAACCCTTAATGCTGCTTTTGTATTATGCCCAAGAAGAAATAAATCATTTTGGTCTGGAAAAGACCACCTCAGTGAACAGAAAGGAGGAAAACTGTACATCAAGGCTGAGAGAGCTGGGGTTGTTCAGCCTGGAGAAGGGAAGGCTGCAGGGAGACCTTATTGCAGCCTTTCAATATATAAAGGGGGCTTATAAGAAAGATGGAGAGAGACTTTTTACCAAGGCCCTTAATGACAGGACAAGGGACAATGGTTTTAAACTGAAAGAGGGTTGATTTAGGTTGTACAGAAGGAAGAAATTATTTACTATGAGGGTGGTAAGACACTGGAACAGGTTGCCCAGAGAAGCTGTGGATGCCCCATTCCTGGCAGTGTTCAAGGCCAGGATGGATGGGGCTTTGAGCAACCTGGTCTAGTGAAAGATGTCCCTGCCCATGGCAGGGTGATTGGACTAGATGATCTTTAAAGGTCTCTTCCAAGCCAAACCATTCTAAGATCACTACATTGCTAAACATATATTCCTATGTCACTGCTAAACATATATTCCTATGTCACTGCTAAACATATATTCCTATGTCACTATTTTGTTGTTTAGCAATACAAACATTTCACTTTGTAAAAGCAGGAATGAATCTGAACTTGTAGCACACTCTAAAAACACAACAGGGTTAGAGGAGAAGTTTGGCTTTACCTATGTTAAAAAATATTAACTATGAGTTATTAAAACAATCTCTTTCATTACTGGTATATTTACACCAGTAATTATAAATTTTACACGTGACATAGTAAGCAAATGCTGCAAGTGGATGAAAACATTGAAAAACTGTTTTCAAAGTTGTTCTCATTTGCCTCAAGGAATAAAATTACAGAACTGTTTTTTCCAAATTAAGCTTCTGTGCTAGTATATTACAATTAGAACTTAAAATAGACATTTATTGTCTTTTGGAATTACATGCAAAACATGTCATAAAAATTAATTGCACTAGTTCTGCTCAAGTGATATAAAGGAGTGAAGTTACTTTTTTCCTTTAAAAAACCCACCCAAACTCCAATAAAGTAACTTAGCTATGAACTTTGGTTTTTATATGCAAGTGTGTATGTTTATTTTTTTATATATATATGAATATACATGCATACGCACACACACATAAATATTTATACGGGTATTCAAGCTCATTCCTACAGCAAAAATAACTTTGCTTTTCATTCTACTATACAGAATTTTTTTAGACTTTGCTAAGTATACGTTACTGATAAAAAAGTGCGTGGAACAAAGCTCTGAAATGCCAACATCCTTGTGAAGTTCCTTCCTAAATATCCTGTAAACAATCATGGAATATCTTATAGAGCATTGGCTTTTACAGTACAGCCATTTAAACAGAGAACGATGTCTGAAGGCAAGTTGTGCATAGCTGGGGAAATACATGGATTATGAAGTGCAAGGGGAAATACTTTGTACTGGTGAAGATCCAGTCCCAGTAGGAATATCCATATTTTGCCTTTATTTAAAAAAGCTGTGGACAGCCATATCTGGAAAGGTCAAACAATATATGACAAAGAGAAAAAATTATCTGTATTTGTTTTATCAGTCCTTAGGGGAAACTTTAGGGTTCACATGAAACATGCAATATTTCTCCACAGAATTTTTTTTACTGCCTACAGGACTGAAGTAGTGCAACACAGTGCTCTGCTTGAACTTATTAGGGCTGCTGAGAGGGAGGACTCAGCTTGCATGAAGTAGACTGTTATTTCTGAGCTCAGTAACTGCATGCTGCTGCTGCGCAGTACTGGGAGAACATACTGCTGCTAGCTCTCATTGAGCAGAAACATGATATTGCATGGCATAGCACACATACCAGACATGGATATGTGTACTACATTCTACAGCCTTGAAACTGTGGAATTCAGAAACCCGATGAAGTCATCTCTACAGTGACTGACATCCACAAACAGGTAAAGGCACTTTGCAGTGCTGTAGATCTCAATAAATGGCAAAGGCTGAGGAAAGGCTGTCCAAAATCCCTCATTTCTTCCAAACCCCAAACTTTCCCAGCACCAGGAATGAGAGAGAATGAGACATGGATTGACAGCCTGAAATTATTTTCTGGGTCTCTATTTAAATATTACCTGTGTACAAAAAAAACAGCATACATTTTTAAAGCAACATATGTTTTGGCTTTAGTCTAATGAGTAAGACCTGAAAATGGTATTTTTCTGGCCAGAAATTGGAAGATCTGGACTAAAAGAGGAAGATTTAGGCATTTTGCAGCCTAAAGAGACTCGTATGTGCACTTCCATCTCTGTAGTATATTACCCTACCCACACATCACAGGCAAGACTGAACCTGTGGTGCTGTGCAATTAAGGGCATAAGATTTATAGAGCAAGATAAAGCCCAACTGCAGTTAAGTCCTTTGATATGAGGTAGTAGTATGGCATTTCAATCCTGATCTCAGTAGTGCTGATCATGTTATGTATTTTGCATCAAAGAATCTTTGGGTAAGTTATCCCTTGAGCACTGCTGTTTGAATTACTGAAGAAAATGATATCTATCTATTGCTGCAACTATGAAAATATCAACAAATACTTTGAACCTACCCATAATATTTTATGTTCCCTTGTAAAAGAAAAGGAGCTGAAGGATCTAATAATTCAAGATCATCTTCTGTGGATCTCACAGGAATAACACATTTAAATCTTTTTGTAAGCTTCCAGACTTCTTTTAGTGTTCCACCTATTAAGAACAGAAAAAAATGTCTTTTTAAACTGTAATCAAGAATAAATTGAACAGCTTGCATTTCTTGGCTGATTAGATGTTGATTTCAGGACCTTCAATAAAAATTGAGACCCACTATTGAAAACTGAAAAAATGGTCCATAACCTTCTCACTCTTACTCAACAACAGACTCAATAAAGAATCAAAGATAGGCATTTATCAGAGCAGATGCCTTAATAGCTATCATAGCCATCACTGTAACCATGAGGTTGTATTTTGTTAGCATCACTTTAATTTAATTTCTCCTATGATTTTATTAGCAATTTTCTTGGGGGAAAAAAAGAACAAACTGACTTTTTGTAATTGCTCCTAAGTGTTTTTTCAGCTTTTAACCAGCAGTTTATGAAAAAGTATTCAACCACATCATAATTGACATGAGGTAGGAAATGCAGAACCACCAAACTTCATGCTAATTTGAGTGCTAGTTAATTGGGGCCATGCTAGGAACACAGCAGAAATTTAATGTATTACAGCTGGAACCCTGAGATTTTCCAATTCCAGTGACAGGAAAAAGTTTTTTCAAATTTATTATAAATCACAAGATAACTTGCCTTCAGTCTCTGTACTATGGACTGCAGAACGGATTATGGAATCTTTTTGAGAGTTCACCAGTTCAGTGGAAATGTGGTAAATTTACTAATTTAACACACAGAGAACAGTTATTTGGAAATAGTTCAATAAATTATATGATTGAATCAGCTTGTGAACAACAGCTAAAAAAAGCGAGCAAACTGTTCTAAAATAAATATATTCTACAACTGTGTTGTTGACCACTAACTATAACTAAGATGTTTCAAAGACTTTATGACAAGTAATTACAACACTGGATTCTAAAATATTTACTGCATATATTTGTTACTTCTATTGCAGAGGTAACTAGAGAAGAAAATAAAATCAATAAAATTGCATTATTACTGGTGATGAAAAAATGCACAACATGAAACCTCAATGAACTTCTAGTAAAAAAAATAAACAGAGGCACAGATATTTGAAATTACTTCCCAAAAAGTTAGAAAACAAAGGTCCTCCAAGTACAGTCACACAGATAACAAATCTCATATACATTTCAACTGTTATTCAAGGGATTAACATACAAAATTCAGCGTAGTTTTAACTGACATTGCTAAAAGGTCTTCAGAATTTCAACTTTCCTGTAATATGAAGTTACATTGAGCAAATGTATTCTGGCTTCAAAGAGACTGGCATAAAACACAGAGAAATTACTAGGGGTTGACAATCAGAGTGATTTCATCCACAAATAACGAGGATATGCAAGGAGCATTAATCTACTTGTTAACCGTAACATTTCACTCTTCAGTTCAACTAATCTATAGCAATGGTTATGGAATCCTCTCACTCCCTGTCGAGGGTCACATAAAATTCTGTCCATTATCCAACTACTTCCTCAATTCCACCCCAATAGATGCCAAACACTCAAAAAGAAGTCCTTGCTTCAGCATAATGATTATGGGGAAGAATAGAGTATTGTGTTGTAGAAGAGCAAATTGCTTGTGTTTAACAAATGAGTAGAATCTAGACCATGTCTGTCTAATAAATGTCATAATATGTTTGGCCTTTGAAGGTCGTCTGTATTTGGAAAAGTGCTGGGAAGATTTCTAGGGAGACTTCAAAATCTCCACATCCAAAAACTTAAAGATAAAAATTAAAATAGCATGTAGCTTTGGCAAGGTTCATGATCAATGTTCTCAGAAAGAAGTGCTAAAACACTGATTATGCCTTTTCCTTGTGCTCCAACATGAAGCACATATATCCACATACATACATACTGAGCTGCTGGCACTTTAATATCTGAAAAAAAGATTTATCAAGTTATATTGTTCAGTTATTTTGGGAAAATAAACTAGAACTAGATTCTTTTTTCTTTTGTTTTCACAAAGATAAGGTTAGATTGAACCCCCCCCCCCCCGCCCCAGTTTGGAACATGTCAGAAATAAAGCAGCTATCAGAACTAGTTGAATGTAAAACAAAGTGGAAAACAGAAGGGGTTTTGTCATTGACCCTTACACAAAGGACCACCTGACTTACATTTGCTTATTCATACCACTACTGGAGCACAACTGAAGACTTTGTTTTAAATTCAGAATGCTACTACATGCAATTATTTATTACTTTTCTTCTATGCAAAACATTCCTTATAAGTATTCTTGCTAAACTGCTTTGTTTAAAATTCAGTGGCTATTTCTCTTCCCTGAGGAAATCTGATAAAAACCAAACCAAACCAAAAAAATCTCATGCTGTGAGCTCTATTAATCTGAAACAACACTGACATCCAGAGGCTGACAAAGTTAATTGTAGGCTTGTATTATGAGAAGCCTTCCAAAACTTTTCCACTTCAATACTAAAAATAGGCTTTTTTTAGAAGACTCCGCGAGTTTTCAAATCAGAACTGAAAAATCACTAAGCACAGCTTGAAAAAAAAATATTCAGATATTAATTTGAGCAGAATCAACAATAAACTTATTGGTATGGTTTTAAAATAGACAGAAGCATCTTACAAGACCTTCACAGATGACATTTTTCTGTTTGCACAACAGTAACTTAAAGTTCCAGCTGAGTTTTTCTTTTCTTTGAACACGCCTTTATCTGAATACAACTTCAACATATCTTAACTTTGTAGATACTTAGAGTGGACACTGTGACATAAGCAGCGGTATATTTGCAATTTATCTTACCTTCTATCATAAGCAAAGTATCTTCAGGCTGTTGAAGCATTTCATCATGCTTTACAAAATGGATAGCTATTTTCCTTTGTTTCTGGTCTTGTGTAGTCCACATTACAGAATCATACCAGGATGTATTGTGTAATTCCGGGTTTGGGGCAGTAACAGCAGAGCCTTGTAAAATAAAGTCAAAGTCATCTCCATCTGGAACTTCTTGCCTAAAACCATTTCCAAAATGAATAAGTAAATTCTAACAGCTTCTCCTTAGGCAATCTAGCAACAAGGACAACAGTACTCCAAATAAATATTAAAATATAGTAATGAGAGTTAAAGTATATACAGGAAAAATAACTTTGTTGTTATATCAGTTTAAACATTTGGAGCTGTATAGAAATTACGACAAGATTATTCATTTCCATGTTAATAAATATGCTAAGTAATCTAATCTTACCTAGGAGCAGAGGCAGCCTAGTGGCTCCATCCACACATATGTAAATCCATGGAAAAAACAAATATATCAGATTTATGTTATTTCAGTTGGGCCTTAAAAGGGCCACACAACTGCATACCACTTCACCAGAGTGAAAAGACTGTATATGCTCATATGATTTCAAGTTTTATGTTCTAACCTATTTTACTTTGCATATTTTGGGGGGGGGGGGGAAGGGCAGGAACAGAATAGCTTCATGTACGTACTGTAAAGGGAAAACCTGCAACTCTGCGCTACAGTTTCTTTCCAGTCCTGCTGGAGTGCACCATTTGTACACTTGCAGTTGTGATCCACAGAGAAGTAATGCAGGCCATTCAAATTTTACCAGTACTATCAACAACAGGCAAAAAGCCAGTGGTTGGCGCGCAAATTAAAAATACAGTAGAATGTTTTCTCCTAAGCGAGACAGACCTGCTGGCTTCAGGTGGAATATGAACCGCAACAAAAAGGATAATGAAAAAAACAGGCTAAAGCTTGGGCTGTTTCATAAAACACTGAAAGAAAGTAGGTGCCAAGCTCCAGAGTGGAGTTGAAGAAAAAATACCATCAACTCCTGCAGATTATTCTGATGATTTCACTTTCAAACCCAAGAGCAGCTGCTTCCACCAGTGAATAGAACAATTCCTGCCTATGAAACCAAACTTTGATACCATTCTGCTATGACTGTAGAACTGGCACACAAGAAGTCTTACTGAACATGAACTTTCATTTCATGAACTGTTCACATTAACTCTTTCCACCTGTGTTCCTGGATTACTATTTTAAATGCAAAAGCAATAGACCTAACATAACAGGTCATCTTTCCAGATATACCCATTAAACTCTTCTAGCCCCTACAGACTGCCTGCAGATTTCCTGCGGAGGCTGGAATGGAATGAATTGGTTTGAACTAAGCTACGCACAAGGATTGCAACTTCTATAATGTGGATACATGAATAAAACTACATACACATATATCAATATTTTGCTATTTACAGGAAAGCTTCCAGTTGAAGTCTAAAAAACAAAAATACATCTCTCACAAGGATTTTATACTCCAAGCGTTATATGTATCTTACTGCATACAGTGTTAAAGGATCAAACTTGCATTGAACTTTGTTCAGTCAGGCTCCTCAGCATATGCTAAAACATGAAACAACTTCTGCCACAGCAGAACATGTAGGAGGGAAGGATGCCCCTAAAGCATATTTCCTTTGTGGGCCTCTTAACTAACCCAGTCCAGGCTGCAGTACAGCTCCACTATATTTCACTGATTCCATCCACCTGATGCACACAGTTGAGAAAAGAGAAGCTAAATTTAAGGGAAGCACTGCAAGCAGTCCTATCACTGCAGCAGGACAGTGGCAGTAGTAGCAGAAAATAGGCTAACTAAAGCCTCACAAATCTGTCTGGTTAAAAGTCTACCCTGATTTTGTGGCAAAGAGAAGGCAGCGATATGTGAAACAGGAGAAGACTCAAATGAACAGAAAAGAAGATATTAACAAGTCAAAAATATATAAAAAGGCTATAGTAGTCATGTAAAATTGTGGGATAAGGATGAATTTCATAAGGAACAAAAAATTCTATCAATTTTATCTGCTTATTACTATACAGAGTTGGCAAATTATCAATTATGTGACAAAAATGGCAGAGAGAGTTGGTAATTATCTCCTTTTTACACTTGGTAATAAAGACCATGTACTTGTATGTTGTGAAGACGATGAAGCACTTCCTCTTCTATTAGCAACCAAGAGAACGTTATAACAACATCTGATAAGGACCACTATTTTTAAAGCTGCAAGCACGCTACTTTGCATGCAAAAGCTGTAAGAGAAGGATAGTAGGGGCATTTTCTTCTCTCAGTGATGTTTGTACCTAATAAACCTTGATTGTGCAAAAAATTTCAAAAGGCCAGGAGAATGTTAATGTGCCACCATATTAAGAAAGCAATAGTTTACACCAGTAACAATAAAGCTGTTTGCATGGGACCGATGCTAGGCTAAGTCAGGCAAAAAAAGTGATACAGGATTCAGATGATCATGAATAAATAGCACTGTAATTCATGTCACTCAGTAGTTTAATCAAAAATAGACCATTTCAAACAAATTTTCTTTCATTTTTAGATGAATAGACACCATAAATGGCATATGATTATTTGACTGAGCATTATTTGATACCATGACAAACTGTATTAAAGTGGAAATAACAATGCTAAAACGGTCAGTGAACTGACTCAGGTCAAAAAAAAGACAAAAATACCAACATGAATGGTGTTTCCCTGGTATTTCAGGATCCAGAAAAGATGCCTTCTCTGGAAGATACACTTTAGTCAAAGATATTTTATTCATTCATTTGGAGACTATCATACCTTTTTGCTTATTTTTTTTTTTAAACTGCAGTACAGAAACAGGTACTTAAATACAACTTTGGTATGGGAAAAAACATACTGCTATATTTGAAAATAAAGAAAAATTATTGTTTTGAAAGCAAAAGGTTCTGTAAATGGAACTCTTCTGATGATTTAAAGTTTTCCTACCTATTACCAGTGAGTTTCAAATCTTTGCTCAAAATGAAATGCATTTACATTCAGCTCATTTTACACAAGAAAGGATGAAAATACACTGAAAAATCTAGGCATCCCAAAACATACAGAACAATTTGTAATTACTTTTATTGTGTGAAACACTTACAAAGAGTTGCATTTGGAACAATAAAGTTTAATAGACTGATAGAGCTTCTGGGGTTTATAAGTTCTCAGCTTTGCTCTAATGCGATACTGTTGAGGAGCCGTGCTGTTCAGAATGGTTTTCAGTTCTGTGTTATTCAAATCCTGATGATCTGTTAATACTGCAAAATAACAACACACAGAGAAAAGGCTGTACATACCTATTAAACACCATAATATTTGAAATATGGGAAATGGCCATAGCAGGTATGCATTTTCCCTTAGTTCTCAGCTTCTCTTTCCTTCCCAGTTGCAGCCTCAGTTTTATCAATACGTTACTACAGTCTTTAAGATAAATCACAACAGGGTGTGGGAGCATGGTGTACTTCAGTGTACAGAAATTTAACATGTAGAAAAAAACTAATGAAAGTAGACTACATAAATATGCTCTATTCCTTTAGAAATGGAATAAAACCGAAGTAACATTCATAAACTTATACTCTTAGAATAGCTTTTCCTATAATAAGTAGAATATATTATTTCAACCTTTGAGCTGATGTCTCAAAAATATTTTTGTTCTTTAGTAAAAATAAAATTCACCTTGAGGTCAAAATGTTTCCTACCTGTAACAGGTAACTGCTGACATCTCTGTAAGTATGACTCAAGATCTAAAATCAAGAAGAATTTCTTAGTTATTTTCCCTCCTTCTTTTTCTTCTTTCTCATGTGGACACACAAAACCAGATAGATAGGCAGATAGATACACACACAAACCCAAAAGCTGAACAAAGGAAAATGGAAATCCTAATGTATGAAAACAATATAGCAAAAGGAAAAAGCAAAGTAAGCAGAAGACAAACATTAGATATCAAGAGTTAACATATTTGAGGAGGAATTAGTGTACACATTAAATAGCAATGCTCATCAAAACGAACACTTTTCAAATGTATACTGTGAATGATACTGCTGACATAAACTGTATTCATCCCCCTGTAATCCTTCTGGACAAGAGCATCAATACATTATTCTAAAAACAATATGGACTGCCTGGTCCCTCCTCTGAACAACCTCTACTACATATACACAGTGCAGTAAATATGCGCAAAATTCTTTCTAAATTTGCAGTATTATGGTCTAGACATGAAGTATTTATTTGACTTTTGCACCCTCTTAGAAATATCCTATCAGAGTATGTTAATAATGCCTAAGTAACATAGGATTTTAAATGCTAGAAGCAAAGATGCAGACTATGACCAGCCAGCTTTAGAGTTTAATTCACTTTTAGTTATTCTAATTCTGGGCTAAAAATATCATCCGAAGAATAGCACGGGATCTGTAGAACTGCCTGTAAGATACTACGTTTCCATGGCGCTGCACCTTGCAAAACTCTGCTACTGATACAACCTTCCATCCAACAGCTTTAGAAGGGCTCCTCAGCAAGCAGCTGTTTAGTAGCGTTTTCAGTACCTGTCTCTAAGAAATTCCCCTTTAGAGGGAGGGAATTATGTCACTCTGCTTTATGATCTAATATAATATGATTAAAAACACAGTGTTTAATAATTTATTCACTGCCTCCTATGAAAGTATTTTTCCATGTATATGAAAGGCTTCTGCTGTAAGACAGAAGGACAGGGTAATGTCAGTTTCCAGCCTAATAATCAGAGAAGAATTCTCTAAGGCTTTGTATGTGAAAGTAACATTACACACTTAGAGAAGCAGTTAACTGTGACCTTATCTTGACCATATATATATTAGAAGAAAGAGCAAGTCAGCTTTCAATTGCTCTTACCTGTAACATTGTTAAAAGTGCTGTCTAATTCCACTGAAGACATGCTTTCCATATTCTGACTGTCTGCCAGATCCACAGATTCCAAGAATCTAAAAATAAATGACTAAATATTTTATAACCTAGAGAAGTGATTCATATATATACACACACACACATATATATATGGGACTATACGTACACTTACATAAAACCTACTGTTTATCAATACACAAGTATAATGTTCAGACATAAATTTTCCAGCAGACACATAAAACTCAATTGAGCCAGAAGCTGCAGGAGTGTGTACTAATGATGCAGATGAGACACTCCTCTTCAAATCACTTCTAGGACTTTAAACACAATATAGTGCCAAAAGAAGTCTGTACTACTGAAAATGGAATTCCTGATAAAGGAATGTGGACTTTGGTTACTTAGCCTTTCCTAGGAGGAAAAAAGAGAGTTTATAACCTTTGGAAGAAGGGGCGGGCAACTCAGGAGGACTACAAGGATGTCATGAGGTTATGCAGGGAGAAAATTAGAAGGGCCAAAGCCCAACGAGAAATTAATCTGGCTACTGCCGTAAAAGACAATAAAAAAATGTTTCTGTAAGTATATCAGCAACAAAAGGAGGGCTAAGGAGAATCTCCATCCTTTATTGGATACCAAGGGAAACATAGTGACAAAGGATGAGGAAAAAGGCTGAGGTACTTAATGCTGCCTTTGCCTCAGTCTTTAATAGTAAGACCAGTTGTTCTCAGGGTACACAGCCCCCTGAGCTGGAAGACAGGGACAGGGAGCAGAATGAAGCCCCCATATCCAAGGGGAAATGGTTAGCGACTTGCTACACACCCGAGACTATGGTGGTGGATGGGATCCACCCAAGGGTACTGAGGGAGCTGGCAGAAGGGCTCACCAAGCCACTTTCAACCACTTATCATCAGTCCTGGCTAACTGGGGAGGTCCCAGTTGACTGGAAGTTAGCACATGTGACACCCATCTACACTAAGGGCTAGAAGGAGGATCTGGGGAACTAAGGCCTGCCAGTCTGAGCTTGGTGCTGGGGAAGGTTATGGAGCAGGTCATCTTGAGTGCTACCACATGGCACATACAGGACAACTAGGCAATTGGGCCCAGTCCACATGGGTTTATGAAAGGCAGGTCCTGCTTGACTAACATGATCTCCTTCTATAAGAAGGTGACCCGCTTAGTGGATGAGGCTCTGGATGTTGTCTACCTAGACTTTAGTAAAGTTTTTGACACCATTTCCCACAGCATTCTCCTGGAGAAACTGGCTGCTCATGACTTGGATGGGCCTACACTTTTCTGGGTAAAAAAATAGGCTGGATGGCCAGGCCCAAAGAGTGGTGGTGAATGGAGTTAAATCCAGTTGGCAGCCAGTCACAAGTGGTGTCTCCCAAGGCTCAGTATTGGGGCCAGTTCTGTTTAAGATCTTTATCAATGATCTGGATGAGGGGATTGAGTGCACCCTCAGCAAGTCTGCAGATGACACCAAGTTGGGAGGGAGGATTGATCTGCTCGTGGGTAGGAAGACTCTATAGAGGGATCTGGACAGGCTGGATCGGTGGGCCAAGGCCAATTGTATGAGGTTCAACAAGGCCAGGTGCTGGGTCCTGCACTTGGGTCATAACAACCCCATGCAATGCTACAGGCTTGGGGAAGAGTGGCTGGAAAGCTGCCTGGTGGGAAAGGACCTGGGGGTGTTGGTTGACAGCTGGCTGAATATGAGCCAGCAGTGTCCCCAGGTGGCCAAGAAGGCCAACAACATCAGAAATAGCATGGCCAGGAGGACAAGGGAAGTGATCATCCCCCTGTGCTTGGCTGTTGTGGTTTAACCCCAGCCAGCAACTAAGCACCACACAGCTGCTCGCTCACTCCCCTCCAGTGGGATGGGGGAGAGAATTGGAAGGGTAAAAGTAAGAAAACTTGTGGGTTGAGATAAAGACAGTTTAATAATTAAAGCAAAAGCTGCGCGCAACACGCAAAGCAAACCAAGGAATTCATTCCCCACTTCCCATGGGCAGGCAGGCGTTCAGCCATCTCCAGGAAAGCAGGGCTCCATCACGTATAGCGGTGACTTGGGAAAATAATGCCATCACTCTGAATGACCCCCTGACTTTCTTCTTTTCCTCATGGTTTTATATACTGAGCATGATGTCACATGATATGGAATATCCCTTTGGCCAGTGGGGGTCAGCTGTCCCAGCTGTCTCCCCTCCCAACTTTTTGGGCACCCCCAGCCTACTCACTGGTGGGGTGGTGTGAGAAGCAGAAAAGGCCTTGGCTCTGTGTAAGCACTGCTCAGCAGTAACAAAAACATCCCTGTGTTATCAACACTGTTTTCAGCACAAATCCAAAAGAGCCCCATACTAGCTAGATGAAGAAAATTAACTCTATCCCAGCCCAAACCAGCACATCGGCACTGGTGAGGCTGCACCTTAAATGCTGTGTTCAGTTTTGGGCCCCTTGCTACAAGAAAGACATTGAGGTGCTGGAGCGTGTCCAATGAAGAACAACGAAGCTGGTGAAGGGTCTAGAGCACAAATCCTATGAGGAACGGCTGAGGGAACTGGGGTTGTTTAGCCTGGAGAAAAGGAGGCTGAGGGGAGACCTTATCGCCCTCTACAACTACCCGAAAAGAGGTTGTAGTGAGGTGGGGGTCAGTCTCTTCTCCCAAGGTACAAGCAATGGGACAAGAGGAAACAGCCTCAAGTTGTACCAGGGGAGGTTTAATTGGATATTAGGAAAAATTTCGTCAAGTGTTGTCAAGTGTTGTCTTCAAGGGTTGTCAAGCATTGGAACAGGCTGCCCAGGGAAGTGGTTGAGTCACTGTCTCTGGAGATATTTAAAAGATGTGTAGACTTGTCACTTAGGGACATGGTTTAGTGGTGGACCTGGCAGTGTTAGGTTAATGGTTGGACTTGATGATCTTAAAGGCCCTTTCCAGCCTGAATGACTCCATGATTTCTTATGCATATAACGCAGTTCAGTAAAGCATTTATATTATATGCTTCATTTTGAACATCTTTAAGTCTCACCATTTCCAAGTAACACATATGCACATACTTAAAATGTGCTCAGTTTATTTGCTTAACCTTAGCTTTTATCTTTAAAAGATTATATGCCAGTATAAAACTGAATAAGTATGTTAATGTGGGCAGGCCTTATTATTACAGCACTATAAAAGAGAAATCTAAATCCCTCCTGTACTTTAAATTTGAAAAATTAGCCTTTATTTACCTATCCCCCCAAACACTTACTCTCTTCTTAGTGGTGCTAAAGACATATTCTGTTCCGGAGTTTCTGGTTCTTACATACTGTCCTGGTTTGGGCTGGGATAGAGTTAATTGCCTAGTAGCTGGTATGGGGCTGTGTTTTGGGTTCAGTATGAGAAGCATGTTGATAACACTGATGTTTTCAGTTGTTCCTAACTAATGTTTAGACTAAGTCAAGGATTCTTCTGCTTCTCATCCCCAGCCAGCAAGAAGGCTGGAGGGGCACAAGAAGTTGGGAGGGGACACAGCCAGGGCAGCTGACCCAAAGTGGCCAACAGGGTATTCCACACCATGTGACATCATACCCAGTATATAAAATGGGGGTGTGTGGGGCCAGGGGGAACTGCTGCTTGGGAACTAAGTGGACGTTGGTCAGCAGGTGGTGAGCAATTGCACTGTGCATCACTTGTATATTCCAATCCTTTTATTATTATTATTGTCATTTTAATATTGTTATTATTATCATTATTAGTTTCTCCCTTTCTGTTCTATTAAACTGTTCTTATCTCAACCCATGAGTTTTACTTTTTCTTCTCCCGATTTTCTCCCCCACCCCACTGGGTGGGCAGGGCGGGGGAGTGAGTGAGCGGCTGCGTGGCGCTTAGTTGCTGGCTGGGGGTAAACCACGACACATACGTTTACAATTCTAAACTGTACAGTTGTTACATTAGCCTAGAGTTTTCCAGAATCATCTAGGAAAAAAACCTACACATAGAACTTACGCCTTTAGTTCCTTAACATCCAGGTTACTTTCTGGTAAGACTCCTATTCCTCGACCATAACAGGTGCCACCATGAAGATGAAATTCTATATGTGAGACATCTTCATCAACAGCACTTGCTTGTTTCGTATGAATACTGTAAATTCTCAGAAAACTTCCAATCTTAAAGAAAAAAAAAAGATAACACAAAATCAGCTATTTACTTGGAAAAATCTAGGCCTCATAAAGCTTCTTCACCGGTTTCACTGAATCACATAATAGCTGACATTGTCAGGGACCTCTGGAGACTGCCTAGTCCAACCCCCGTGCAGAAAGCAAAGTCAACTAGAGCAGGTTTCTTAGGGCTGTCTCCAGCTGGGTTTTGATATTTTCAGAAATGGAGACTCCAAAACCTCTCTGGGTGACCTGTTTGTTTTGCTTTATCAGACAACATTACTGGCAGCAAAGGCTGATTCAGAACCAGCATAAGCCTTCTTTACTAAATCTGATTCTCAAGCAGACTTCAGAAGACAGATCAAACGAGCCAATATATTCTTTTCCTGAGGGCACAATTTGTCTTCTATATTCACAACACAGCCCTCCAGAGACTGACATGCTGTGATTTGTCCATGTATGATTGCACTCAGCAATTGACCTCATGTCCATCATCATGCATGGCATATTATCTGTTTATGTACACACATAAACACATCTGCTTACCAGATTTGTTTATCATATCTTACTCTTACATTACAGTTAGCATTTTTTCAGCACCAGGACAAAAGGCAATGCATGTTAGAAATTCAAAGATTTTGGCACTGTTCCTAAGTCTGTTAGATTTTCTCCTCAGGTACATGGAGGATACGCTTCTTGTTTTGCTTAGAATTATTTTGTGTTCTCTGAAATGGTTTTGTCCAGTTACACAAATGGACTTAGGCTAACTTATACAAGTACCTATTAAGAAAGAAGTTATGGAGTGCTGAACATTGAACGCATCTTTTAACTTTGCTTTTATTTCAAAATACCACTCCTATTATACCTTCCACCCACCGCCCCAAAAAACCCAAACTAAAACCAAGGTTCTAAAGGTAGATAATCTGGAGACTTAATTATATAGTTAATTTCCCTTTGATGTGTTTTAAAGGCCTTTCAATCAAATTAACTAACACCCAAATTTTTTTTTAAAGTATAATCTAAGATCCAGCTGATAGCTGGCAAGCTACACACATTCAATAACCTGGATTTATGTTCACACTAAGTATCTTTTAAATAGCCCTATATAAATGATAAATTATTTTAAATTGACTTCAATTAACATTAATATTACAGCAGCCAGTCTGTTAAGTCTTATTTCAGCTTCAGCTCCTGCTTTAACCAGTAGAAACCTAAATCCTATCAGACTAGATTGGCCAGGTCTTAGTACGACACTTATAAATGTATGTATATATGCAGAAAAGCAGATAGAGCAGCATCCTTACTCTAGAATCCTCCTCTGTATCAAGGAACAGACTACAACTATATAATGCTGGTATCAAACTGCTCTTTTAAACAATAATCACACATGGAAAAAGGCAGCGTATTTTCAAATTCAGGCACCAGGGACATAAAAAGTGCACTTCAGGCTGCACCTATTTTGCTCCTGGCATGGAGCTCTCACCAGAGTTTTAATTGATCTGCACCCTTAAAGGGCTTCTCATTTTGTTCATTTAAAGCATATCAACAGGACAGGTTGTGCATTTAGATGGCAGTTAAAGAGGCTTATCAGGAGGCTTTTTTTTTTCCTTCTTTCCAGATGCTAAATTTCACTTAGTTGTGTTGAATATCCAAAAATACAAGGGACAGTCATATTATAAAACTAAACTAATGACTATGACAAATGCTTTTGGAGAAAGTTTTTTTAGAAGTTCTTAGCTAAGTTCTGCTTATCAAATTACCTTATATAAATATAATGGTGCCAAACCACTTTTTTTTTTTCCAAGAGTAATTTGTATATAAGCAGGAAAAGGTTGATTATAATTGAAGAATTTCTTTCTTTCGAAAACAATGTATGAAAAAACTAAGCATTTGCTATAAGTACAAACATGAAACATTAAACATGGGAAAGGAGAGCCCAGAAGCCAAGAATACAAAATGCTGGTTTTGCCTTCTAAACTTGTGTGCTGAAATTCCTGCAAAACTCAACTGAATTACATGTTTTAGTGCAACACTCAAATTCCCAACGTTTATGATCACTATCTTCCTATATATGCATTTTATTAGATGCCTTTTCTGAAAATGTTATTAGTTAATATATTTTAATATCACTTAGAACTATACTAAAAAGGTCCATTATAACGGGCATTGCCAAATACTGAAAAAGTACGGAAGGTTATGAATGTCACCACAGACCTGACTGTGCAAGGCGGAGTGCAATTTCCGTGAATTCCTTTGGGAGGCAGCATTGCTTACTGTTAACAGCGGCAAGCAAATGTGGCTGTTAGGGCTAAAAGTGTTACTGCTGTATTGCTGTTGTTTACAGAAAGCCTGCAGACCGAGCACACTTTATATACTCGATTGGGAAGAAATTATAATCTAAATTAAAGTAAATACCATGATTTACAGAGCCATCACTAAAATCTCGTACAAAACCAGCTCCTTTCTTGACTCTACAGCAGTTTTGTTTATGAGCTACCTACCTCATTCAGAGCAAGTTCATTCAAAATGAAATTAAAGCTATAAGAACATGTCTTGCAGTAATATAAAATATACTAATACACTATTTGCAGTCTAAATCAGATATGACTATTTAAAAATACATATTAAGGCTAAAAAGAATTAAAATGAAGAAGTTACTTATGCAGTTCCCTGGAACCAGCCAAGTAAACCAGCTTTATAACATAGCAAATTCTCATAGTTATTTCAAAACATACAGGATTCTGTTCGCATTTAAGACACTAATGAATTCAGAACAGTCATTTATCATAGCAGTTAAACGTTCAGGTTTGGCCAGAAAGACACTCCTGACAAGAGGCTGTCTTGACCTACGGGAATCACTTAAAATCATCTGTACTGATTTTGATGCCTATTTTATGGCTGATGATATTAAAAAGGAGATTTCTTTGCCATCATTTTATCACATCAACAGTCTAACTTTACTGAGTAAACTGTGTACAACTTTTTGCAAATGAGAGGAAGCATATACACAACACTTGGGTGTGGTCCTTTGCAATAAAAAATACCAACTTAAATCCCTTAAAGGGTTTGGAGGACTTGGGGTGGGATGGGGGGGTGTTGTGGTTTGTGGGGTTTTTTTCCTTTTAATGAGTACAAAGACAGAAGTGGGGAAAATACGACTGACACGTCAAAGGAATGCTACCCAGGCCTCAAAAATATAAGGCTAGATCTTACAGCCATGTAACTCATTTAAGTTGCAGGTTGGAAATGTGACTCAGACACTAGAAAATCAAGCAAGACTTCTCAGTCCAAACTACTATGAAAAAAGACAGGACATTGTATACTGCGGGAGGAACAGCTGAAAATATTCAAATTCTGCATCTGAAGATACATAACGCAAAACAAATACTGTGAAACTATGGACCAGGACTTATATGCATGCTCAAGGTTAATTGTTTTAATTGTAAAATCCAGAAAATGCGTGGCAACACAAAACTGATGGTATCAAGCCACAGGAGGAATGCACAGCATTCAATGAATGACAGTACATAAGGAAATCTCCAACCAGCTGCAGACAGCTGGACGCCTACCATGCACTGACTGACCACTGATGCTCTCTCACCTTGATGCTTACCATCTAGCAAAATACCCCAGATGCAGAAACCCATGTCACCGACCTATTCCTGAGTTGTACGGCAAGGTCTGAGCAAATCCTGAGAACCTCTGGAAAAACTGGAATAAGAAGGGCTGAAGAATAACAAATTATAACCTATGGGGAGCAACTGTACTCTGGAGAGTTAGTTGCAGGCTGGGGTTCCTAGAGTAACATGAAAGCCTCATGCACCCCAGGTAGCCAGAGGAAGAGGGAAATTCGAGAAAAAGCAGTGAACACCATTGTCTTTGCTTAGTTGTAGCTCTTGCTTGTGTCTTTATGCCCCAGGAAATAATCTACTTCAGAGATTAGACTTCTGAAAATTCAGTCTGTGTCCTGCTAAGGCAGCAAATGCTGAAAAGCCACAATCTTACCCAGCAGGAAATAGAGGCCAGTAAATATAGGGGACAAAAAGTCTAGTTATGGTATCAACTGTAGCATACCTTCAATATTACTGAAGTTCTCTCCATTGAAAATTGTAAATAATATTTGACTGTCTTGGAAAATGGGATAGAATGCTCATATCTTCAGAGTTCTCTGGACAGAAAACCCAAACAAGGAGCTTTTAACAAACTTTGCAGGAGTATCCCCGACACTGCGCTCCAGGATTTGCTAAAAATTCACTGTAATACATTACCCACTTTCTCCAGACTGTAATGCTTACTCAGAGCTTCCTTGTCTGAACATGTGCCTACAGATACAATTTTAAAATAAGAACAAATATTTCAGGTTTTTTTTTTTTTAATGTGCCCTTCTTGGTATCAAGGCCATGTGAAACAGATCATTCCTACATAAAACATCATTTCAGAGTTGCAACTGTCATTGCAAATGGTACATGACAACATGGGTGAGTATAACCTAACAATTCCATAACAATTTACATTAAAAAAGGCAATTCTAAGCTACTGTCAAATGCAAAAGAGATGGCTGAAAAATAGTGCATTTTTTTTGTTTCTGAAACCATAAGCTGGCAAAACATCTAGTACAGTTTCTGTCCACACTGTTCTCGTGTTCACACTCAGGAAGGTGCACATGCATACACTAAACGCTCTCCAGTTTTGTAAGTCTACATAAATGATTTTTTTAAAAAAAATATTTGCATAACAAGACCCTGACCTAAATAAAATATTGTACAGATTAATATAGAGTATTTCAGTTATACTTTCTTATGATATGACATGATTTCCACTAGTATTTTAAAACAAACCTTTTTTTAAATCTTCCATTTTAGGAAGAGTCCCACAAAATTTTATTGTCTTTAGATTATTCTCTGAAATAAAATTAATTGCGTGTATTGCAACCTGAACTTAACAAATCCTCCTGAAGTTTAATTGTTAGGATATCAGCACTTTTTCTTCAATAACTCCACTAAGACAATCCACTAAAAAGCAGTGCTCAAAAATGATCTAACTTAAAACTTCTACAGCTTGCATGAGTTAAACTACTGCAACTTTGGACATAGCCAGAAGGAAAAAAACAGCCCGTGTTGCTCAGTAGGTCAAACCAGGCTTCCTAACAGTTTCCTTTGACGTTAGAGCTTCTGCTACACAGTGCAGTACCCAGCAAAGGCACAGATGCTTTAGAGATAAGAAAGGAAGGGCTTATAGGAAGGAAAAAAAAATTGAGAGCTGATGAAGACATCCAGTGTACCACATATTCAATAGGAATTCCTGAATATAAATAAGAGAGAGTAATAAAGGGAGTATCATCAGCTACTCAAGAAAATATGTTTTATTAAAATATATTTTTCCCTTAATTTTCAAAACATACTGCTTCACTGGAACATCAGCAGTTATTTATAGCAATAGATTACACCAGTTAGCAAGAGAAAAATTCTGGAAGAAAACCTGTAAGTAATGAAATACTTCTGTGAGTAAGTTTTGTTATGAATTCTTACACAATGGCAAGTTATTTTGCTATCTGCCCTTTACTTATGAGCGGGCATTAATACATCAAATTGATTTCATGTCTGCTGATAGCCCCAGCCTAACAAATGGCTTATCACTTACCTTTATTTTCTGGTAGACACTTTCTTAAAAATGACGCTTGGGTACAGAGGGCAAGACATAAAATGAAAGATGTATTCTTTGCTAATTTACTGTATTCAGAAGCAAGATGGCAGTATTGCTGAAGATCAAATGTTTAATTATGTTGTTTTCTCTATCTAAGCATAATCAACATTACTGACCCACTAAATGAAGATTGCACTGCAAATTGTAGAAGTTTATAGAACAGAAAATCTTTTATTGACTTTAGAATTACGGGCCTTTAATGGGACTACAAGTTTAACCCCAATTTATGTAATTTAAAAAATAATTCTAAAGTATAGAATACATTTTGTGAGTGCATAATTTTCACAGGATTATATATGATATTACAGTGTCTGGAAAGAACTGCTTAATTTGGAAGAATTTTTTCGTGGCAATTTTAGGGTAATGAGGCTGTTTTACACGTGTTGAAGGAGTTTTGCTTTCAAATAAAAGGTATGGGAAATACAATGAAAGATAAAGAGGAACATTTGAAACTAATTAACAGCAGAACTGAAATGATACATTCTCTGAAGTGAGTTCTAAGCAGAAAATAGGCCACAAAATGAGAGTTAGAAATACCAAACTGTGCATTACCTTAAGTGATTTTGCCAGTTGTACATGGTTATCATAGACTAGAACGTCCACCGTTAGATTTCGCAGCTGATGAAGAACAACTTTTTCTCCTTCCAGGTCTCTTGCTTCCACAGGCACCTTCCACGTTGGGTAGGGACATTTTGTGCCATCCCATACCTGCAATGCAAATGAACTATTTCAATATGCTCAGAATACTTTAGATTGAGATTTTAAATAACCTTTATTTTTTTTTAACAAATTTGCTGTTTATTTAAAAATCTTAATTGGAATCTCAGTTTTAAAGTCCTTAATCCCTTTTTGGGGATTTTTTTTTTTTTTTAATTATTATTCCTTACAGAGTATAAAATAACCTCTATAGAGAATATGATCAAGTGTTAAAAGCTGGGTTTTGTTAATATTTAAAAAAAAACAAAACAAAAACACAAAAAACCCCCAGCGCTAGCAAAACCTCAAGTCTTTATCCAGCAGTTACAACTATTAGAATTCACCATATGCAGAACTGTCTATATTTAATATTTTAATCCTGCTATAGGTTCTTTTTAACATTCCAGCTACAGTATGTGAAGACTGAGTACACAGCATATACTCCCTTAATTACTGATGATCTCCTACATCAGTATACACTGCTAGTTATCCAGAACGTATTAGAAAAACATCAGTATTTAGCATATACTTAAATAATGAGTATTCTAAAAATTGTTTGCCTAAAGCACTTAAGTACTGAAATATCAATAGAGTTATTCTTGAGCTATCAAAGTTTTTGTGAAAAAGTAACATTACCAACAGACTTAGCACTTTGGAACCAAAATCTTACTACTGAAACAAAACATTAAAATTTCAGTGATAGCTGCTTACAATATATTCTGTAAACTATGGTTTCCTGAGTTCCTGAAGATACACTCTTCTCAAACACAACAGAAATTATGGTCTCAAATACTGGCACAGAAAAAGAAAAATCTAGAGGCATTTCGACTATAAGACTGAAATGCTGCATTTCATAGGATTTCATGCATATAGGTTCAACAGAAGCTAATTTTCAGAAAGTTTGTGATACCAAGGCATTTTGTCCCAAGTTAGGCACTGCAGAGGGGGAGAAAAAAAAGACACCAAAGCTTAATTTTTAAAGGGTTTCTACCCTTTATGCTTAACAGCTGTGGATCAAAGGACCCACAAGAAAAGATCTAAGAATCAGCAAAGCCATGTGTAAATACACTGAGAATAACTCATGGTTGAAATACTCATCTCAAATCAAGAGATAAAGGGAAAAACTGTTCACAGTGAAAACGACCCATAACATCAAATTAATGTTCCCAAATAAGAGTGTATTCTGAAGGACCCAGATAATGACATGGTACACGCTGCCACAGATTGAAAAAAAAAAAAAAGCCTATTATCTTCTGATCCTGTACCATGAAATACTTAAAACCACCTTTGAAAGAGAGGTTGCCTATTGCTTGAATTATCAAACCTTTTCGAGACCTGAGCTTGAGAAATATAGATTTAGTGCATATATATTATGAATTTAGCCACTTTATTTTGTCAAAGAACCCTAAGTTTGCCAAGTTTCCCATTATTTTTCAACTGGCTTTACTTGGGATACGTTGGTAGTTCCACACTTAAGAGATGGCTCTGACAAATGGATTAAAATAACCTGTATGCTCCCTGTCAGATACAAGGATGACTACTTAGCTTTAAAATGTCCTTTGCCAGAGGAACTAATGGGACTAGCGTCAGGGCACCTTTTGGAGGAATTTGTAAGCCAGTAAGCTTTCTTTACAAGAAAAAAAAAAATCCTTAGAAGAGCAGTTGCTTTTGTTTTTCATATGCACAAATATGAAAACAGATCAAGCTCTCTACCTCAGGAGCTTGCCAGCTTCACTTTACTCAGATGAAAACACAGAAGCCCTGGTTTCAAAAGCCAATACTGGTCTAAAAAACAACACTGATTAAATTAATTCTGGATAAGAAACAGCAAATGGTTCCATTACTAGTCATGAACAGACTGGAGCTAAGGGTTAGTAGCAACGTTTGATCACAATGGTCAGAAAAACACTGAAATGGGAGAGACACAATGAAACCTGTTTCTCTCTTCAGTAGAGTATGGCACTTGTGTGACATAGCTTAACATAGACAATTTAACTAACAGACAGAAGGAAATAAAAGAATAATAGTAGAACTCCTGTGAAAGGCATAAATGACAGAAAAACTTCTAGTGTGAGTTTTTCAGTCTCCATCAATTTGAATAACAAAATTATCAGAAAAATGTAAGCACTAACAAGTTAGTGATAAGGTCTTTATGCCATGTCAGCCTCAAGTGCTGTACATATCCCAATTAATTTATCAAGTGTAATATTAAAAGTTATGCTATGGGTGATGCACAAAATCACTGAAATTGATTTTACTTGTCTTTAAGCAATCCCCACTAGTTACATGAGCTCAACACTTAAAATAATCATTACATTTTATATTATAACCAACCATTAATATAACTAATACACTTGGAATGACATGATTCATTTAAATCATTATTATAAAACATATAACCAAAATATCATAATCACCATCACTCCATTTGAGCTGGTATTGAATTGTTTGTTTGTTTGTTTAGTGGATCAACAAAATAATCAGAGATCTGTCTACAAATTTTTAAAAAGGCTTCTCTTCTATCACGACCAACTTTTCATGTGAGAAAGGGATTGTGCCATGCTTCTAAAATGGAGGAAATTAGCAACAGCATATCAATGTTAATCTACCATTTTTAAGCTTGTCCGATGTACTTTAATACAGATTTAAGTATTTAGTATTTTATACTACTAAAAAAAATACACAAAGGAATTACATATCAGAAAAATTGATCTACCATTATTTGATTTCAAGCTTTTACCTTCCTAAATCTCTCCTAAATTTCCCCCCCCAAGTCATTATCTTTACTATACAAAACTGACAAAATCGACTTCGGACCTTAAAACACAGAAAAGAGTGTAAAGAAATATTAATAATTTAAGAAAGCACTTGTCTCTGTCCTTGCAAAGGATCCTTCAATGCTGAACATATACTTATTAATGAACAACTTAATTACAGTCCACAAAGTTCTGAAATTTTACTGGGTGTCATTTGACATCTATTTCACAAGGGATAATTAAATGGAAATATTTGTAAGAGCTGCGAAGTATATTATCGGATGACAGTTAAGGTTCGTTTCTGTGCAGTGCATGCATTGTTCTGCACAAGAAAAATCTTTGCTGCTTTAATGAAGGAATAATGCAGTGTGCTGTTTCTAAAAATGTTGTAACAATACAGTTTAATACAGTAGAACCAATAAATAATTTTATGAAGTCATAAAATGAAAAATAACAGACTGTTCATCACTCACATTTTAACACTCAACTTATAAAAGAAAGAAAAAGAAATACAGAGGAGTTTCAGAATAATACCAGACTGATACATCTGGAGCTAAAACCAGGAGAATTACGCAGACCTCCTTTTTATTTAGCTGATGTTAAGGATCACCCTTGGAAAGTACTCTCCTGTTGTGTGGCACTATGCATTTTGTACTTCCAGTGAGCACTGATCCCCAGAGCGGTTATGTATAACTAAAATAAGCTACCTAAAATCCATCAAGATAGATAAAATAACCCATTCATTCATTTTCTAGATAGTGCTACTTACTGCGTTAATTATATCCAGCAGATCTAGTAAAAAGAGCAATAATTGCTGCTAACTAAAAAACAATGTTAAAATTTCAAACAAACAATATTTTTCAACTTAAGAAATCTTGCAATATTTATCTACAACTGTTTGTGAAATGATGATCCATACCAATGCCATCTTATAAAACTTCTCTAAAGAAATAAATCAGATGAACAACTTTAAAGAGAACTGGGATTTCTGTTTTGTTTTCATAGAAATAATTTGGTCAAGGATCATAAATTTGCTTAACCTCAAAATATTTACCTACGTAACATTACTTAAATCAATGAATATGTTTGTTTCAGCAAAAACTGAATCACAATTTCTTAATAAATAAATCTAACAAATTACTTTAAAAAAAGAAATCTACCTTTAGAAGAAAAGAAGATCCATCCACTTTTGCTTTTCCTACCAGCTGGCAAGTGAGATCAAAGAACAGCATTGGCCTAACACCAGACAATTTTGCTGCTGGTCCAGAGATGGAAAGATTACTGGCTGCCCAAACACGCAATTCTTCTATTGTTTTCTGTTCTTCATCCATGAAAGTGTACACTTTGCTAGAGGATCGAGGAACTACTGGCGCTCCCACAGTTCCATCAAATGTCAAGGATGCAAATCCCACACCGGTAATTCCCTGCATCTGTCCATTGTATTCCTTGATCTGTAACAAAAAATGAGGGGGGGGGGGGGGAAATGGTTGCATTGCATCAAAATACACATACATTTTTTTTTTTAACATATGCATGAAGAATGGACCATTTATCATTTTTGTTCCTGGTGCTATTAGGAGAACAGAGTCAAAATAAAACCAACAACAACAACAAAAAAGGAAATTAACATTAACAAGAAAACAAAGTGAATAAGCACAAAATATAATCCAACACACAAAAACTTTTAAAGAGGCAGACTAGTACCTACCTGTAAATATACAGCATCAGTGCAGAGTATTTTATTCACAAAACTCAAAATGTTTGTGTGGGGAACACATCAGGATTGCTTTTACAGATAGGGAAACTGAGGCACAAGAGAAATTAATTTTTAGGGGTCACACAGCAGAGCTATGGCAGAGCAAAGTTATTACGGATTCCCGTTTTCTGCCTCTCAATAGCCTCATTTCCTGATATGGAACTTAAAAAGAAAATATCAGTTCTAGGAGTTTGTTTTTTTTTTTTTCTATAAAGCAACAGTGACCAGCTTTCATCCCTTGAATTATGAATACAGCTTTCATAATTACTCTTGTGTCTGCTGCCCTGCACATGGCAGGTCGCCTGTATCCTGCTGATTTAGCTGTGTATCTGCTACCATATAAAACACAGTATTCAAAGTCTGAAGCATTCCTTCAAGGATCTAGTCTAGTCTTACTGTTCCCTGCACTTTATATATATCTCAAAGCATTGCATGACTCATTATCCAGAAATCCCAGACTGTCTGCTTTGATCCATCCTTTTTTAATTAAGATTTGCTTACCCAAAAAGCAACAAGACTTCTGAATATAGCATTTGCGAGACGATCTAGTTTAGGATTCGCAGTACTCAGTTTTCAAATGGTTAAAAATCCTACTGATTTAAAAGTACAAAAGCTGAAAAACATGACAGAAGTTCTAAACAGCAACATTTTTTTACGAAAATATTGCCAACGGTTTAGGCCTATATTTTATAAACACACTGAAATTTAAAAAGCACACAAATCAAGTATTCCTTGGAAATTCATAAACAAGGCAGTTCAATCTTGGTGACAGGAACTCCTTTAATCCCTGATACTTTAACATAATGCATAAATGCACTAAGGATCATCTCTAGGATAAACTTTCATTTACTTAAGCATTCTCCAGACCTGATCAATGGAGCACATCAATTCATGATGTAGTTGTTCTTCATTGTAACACTGAAAAGCTTTAGTCTTTTAACGTTTAGGCTTAAATATTGAAAATACAAGAAAACCCAATGGACAAATCAGGAGAACACAGAGTTTCATAATCAATTTGTGCCCATTACCCATGATCTGGAAAGAAATGTTCCACTACGACACTAAGATGTTATTTAATATAAATACACAGATTTACTTCAGGTGCTGCTACTGGCATTGTATTCCACAGCTTCTCAAAATAGGTAACATCCAGAGGGGAGAAAGCCTTACTTATTCATCTGCTATCAAAAGATACTTCAAGCATATTTTTAAGTATCTTGTCTGATGTCAAACGTTTCTCAAAGTGTTTTAATTTCCAATTTACCTATTTATTTATTTCTCCACTAATTCTTTTAAATGATCATCAAAATATCTTGACTTCTTCCTTACTAAAAATTCTGTCCTAGACCTCTAGCCTATTTATGACGGCTCTAAACCTTTTAAGAAACCAGTTCAAGAAACTACTTTGTCTCCATGGGCTTCTACTAATATTTCACCAAAGACTATTTTCCCCATTTCCCAAATCCTTTATGTCATGTTTTAAGCATTCATGAGGCTGCGCTTGAACACGCTGTACTTCCGTCATCTCTTAGTACCCTCATTTAGTGGATTTGAAATCAGCCTTAATGCAGCAAAAGGCAGTTATAAAATAACAAAACAAATAAAACACATAAGAAGGTAAACCTGAAGTGTCATGATGAGAAAATTACCAATGATCTTGAAGCAAAACCAAATGTCCTTAGGCATAAGTATGTGGAGAAGCCACTGAGTGGTCTCAAAGGTAAACAGCATTCAACAACATTATTTAGTGAACAACAGAACAAACAGGAGAACTAAATGTAGAATGGGTTATAGAACAAAATATTTCATACCTGGCAAATTACTTGTGTCAGACCCATAGAACAGATGATGGTCAACAGAAATTCCCTGGGCTTATTCTTTAAAAACAAACCATTACTAAAGTGATGAGGAATCACTGGAGTGTAAAATGAACAAAATCCATGGGCAAATATTGTTTCATTATGGCACTCTTAAGTAGATCTCAGATCAAGTTAAGCAGTGATACTGTAAACTAGTTATATTTTCCACACACAAATGATTTTGAAATTGAATTAAACTTAGGGAAAAGAGCTAATCTGAGACTTTTGTATATGATGACAATTCCCCCTCAGTAGATTTTGTGTCATTTCTAGAGGCCTTGGGGATTTTTTTTAAAAATCAGCCTGGGAGATCAGGGGGGAAAGAACAGTGAAGGGGAGCAGATGGCTATCACTTCAAAAATTCCCTGAGAATTTTAAATAAATTCAATAAATAATGGTTGCTAAACAAAAATATATTCTGGGACAAACACAAAGCAGATACAATACATTTGGCTTGTTCTAAGCAGGGAAGTAAACTCCAATACATATTGCAGCAGCCTTTGGCACAGTTTTTATAAACTAAAGAACAAAAGGTGAAATGCCACCTCAACAAACTGTGTGGACAATAAACTCTAGTGGTTTCTATGGGGTACAACTCTATCCTGAATATGCTCATTGAAAAGAAGCTAATCTTGAAATATTTATAAATAGATTTACAAGAACCTAAACCACCTAAATTTTTTTTTTTTTTTAACTGAAGCTGGTGTTATTCACCTCACTCAATGGAAAAGTGCGATAGTAAGTAGTGTATAAAGCTGGAATAATAGCATCTCCAAGGTAGTTTTCCATCAAACCTGATTGTTAAATTACAGAAGGAAAGGACTATTATGAAACCACTGCAGTCACAGATCATCTTAGAATATCAAAAAATGCCTTGTAAAACAACATATACTAAGCTAATGTACACGTTCTTATACTAAGAAGGAAGATTTCCTAAAATAAATTTAACTATTGATTTGTGGAAGGATCAGGAATTCAAGATAATATTTTGAAACATGAATACATTAAGCTTAGAACTTCTTCATTATTTATACATATAAAATTATTTCAAGACATCAAGTTGTGTTGTGGTTTGTTTTTTTGTTACTTGAATTATTGCATCATCTGAAATGTACCGTCCAAACTTCTATTTCACTTTGAGTATACATTCAGGTGAAGACCTCATTGTAAGGTATCTTTTACCTAAGCAGAAGTAAAAAACTTATGATCCCTGTGATTCACAGTTAACAACAAAAATAATAGAAGATCAATGTTCACATGCTGCTACCCAGCCTTCCCTTAACTGCAGAAATGTAGTATATGTGAGATGTCTACAGGCAATGTATCTGCAAGAATTACAGTTACTGTGGTGAGCAATGTATTCCCCTCAGTTAAACATATGTATATAAGCACGTGCCACTCTGTATGACACAAACAGGGTTCAGCTGACACAGCAGCAGTGACAAAAAAATCCCCTCCTCCTCAAACACAGAATCTGATCACAAGCCTCCAGGAGCAAAAAAACTTTATGAAGGTATAGATGGGATTACAACTGGCTGTCACAGAACCGTAGGAATTTTGGTTGGCGGGGACCTCAGGAGATCATGAAGTTCCATCTCTTCTTCAGGTAAGGGCTGTTGTCAGCACTGTGTCACATCAGGCTTTGGCTAGTTGAGCCTTGAAAAATTCCGAGCATGGAGATTCCAGAACCTCCCCAGGTAACCTCTTTCAATAACACACTACTCTTAGTCCACAACCGTCCATGGAAATACCTCCTTTGCCATACTAAGTCTTATCGTGTCTAGATGCATAAGGTTCCCCAGCACTGATTACCAAGTATTTTGGTTGTATTGAATGCTTAAAAAGATCTGTAGGAATTTGGGGAAAATACCTAATACATGGATTATATTTCAAGTGAAACTCCATGCAAAAACCTAGACAAGAACTTGGGACAGTGCCAAAAAAAGAACACAATATACTAGGTGCCACACACTCTTCTAATTTGTTCTTATAAATGATGGCTATGAAAAAGGATTTCCTTCTAGGAGCTGGATAAAAAATTTACCTTATGCTAGGGGATGGGGGTTCCAAGTCACAAAGGGATGCCCTTTAATTCTCCCCATTCACTCGCCACCTTACACAGTTTTAGAGACAGATCACTGCAATTTAACTTGAAAAATGGTCTCGAATAGCTGGACCAGACACTTGATGGAAAAACACAAACAAATAAAACATAGGTTTTCCATTGTGTCAAGACAAAAAATTAGTTCACTTAGGTATTCAGCTTACTTCGTTGGGTTCTTTCTTTTCTATTTTTGGCTGCACAGGTAGCCAACACAGAATGGAATAGCATCTAAGAGCCACTGGTCCAAGACAGCATGGGTTTCAGACCTGTCTGAACTGAACCACAGAGCTTTTAAAACTTGGAAACACTCCATAAGTATTGTTTGCCATGTGAGCAGTGATGAGTTATAAACAAAGGTTGCTTTCTCCTGTTAAATGCTATTACTTTATCAGTGGTTCTGACATTTTAAATAAGAAACAAAGCAGAAGCAGGTTGAGAAGGTGTCTTGTTAAGAAATTATGTTTATATGCCTCAAACTAGCTGAAAAAAAATCCCAAAAGAACTGTCCTGAAGTCTTCAGGTATGAAAAGCCTCAACAATTTCATTCCTAAACATCCTTTCTATTAAATGGGAGTTGCTCCTTTGTGTTATGGACTTCTTAGAGAAAAATCAAAGTCCTGGATTTATGATGATTTGTCCATCTCAAGAGACTGTAGCCACTGAATACAATACACTGTATGTCCAGCATCACCTACAAGGATATTAGTAACCAATCCCCTTAATCTGTCCCTG